TCAGAATTTAATTTCAACTTTACTTTTGATTTCGCGGGTTTGAATAATTTAAGCTGTCATTTTAGGGGTAATAATTCTTCAATAATTATTATAACGATTATTTAATGGTAATAATAATTTCTTGTTTAAAGGAAATTAAAATTTGATTGAAACCACTAGTTATGTAATAATATATAAATAAAAAATAATGGATTTAATCTTTGATCCAAGGACTTCCAATTGAATTTATATTTAACATTTGATTTTATATAGTAACAACAATTATAATAATACAGATAATAATCATTTATTCAAGAAAGTAAGAATTTGATTGAAATCACAAATTTTTCTGGAAAAATCCTGGGAAAGGTACCATTCAACGAAATGAATAAGAAGCGATTTTTCCTAGCGTCGCTTAATCCCTCATCAACAATCCGCCATTTTGCATTTTAATTCAATTCCAACTGCATGAAAGACCGGAATGACAATGAGCCAATGAGACTGTCGCATCGTGTTACCAAACCTTTTTGGCTTTTGGTATCGTCAGCGACGGAAGAGATGAGAGAAAACCCAGGTATCCGGTTACAAGGCGAGATGGAAACAGGGTAAAGCAATCCGTCGGAGGTAAAATTGAATCTCGTCGACGGGATTTAATGAAAGGGATCTGACTCTTGAAGCCGTTGAGAATCAAGATCAAGGGGCGGCGCATTCGAAAGATTGAGAGGGAGGGATCAAATAGGGGTGAACCATCCAGGAATGGTGGGATTTTTATTATTATTATTTTTTTTTATCGGGGAGGAAAAATAAATGCCAGCGATACCACCGGAGGACGAGGATAAATCATATCTAGCCAATCCGTTGTGGAGAATTTCCACGGGTTCATGTTTTCTAATTAAAATGATTATCTCGTGACGATTACAAAAAAAAGAGATTTAAATCCTCGAGATAATGATAATTACTATTGTTGTAATTAAATAGTAAGAATGATTATTAGATTTTTTTTGAGGTGATGATTTTGTTTTAACGGACGATTTTTATTTTTCTTCAACTTTTTTTAACTAATATTTTAAGCGTTAATTATAGGAATAACTAAATAATAATTATTATAGTTGTTTTAGATTTATTAGTAACTTCAATTTATTTATTCCCATTTACTAAATTTAAATCAATTATTTTCTTACATCAAGTAGACCTTTCATTAAAAATAAATAAATTCTTTTAAATAAATAATCAAATAGAGTTATTTGTCGTAATGATGTCTTCAAAATGACAGTAAAAAATTAAATTCAATTATCTTAGAGTAATTTATTAAAAAAACTTAAATTTATTAATATTATAGTTGTTATTTCCAAAGGAAGTTAGTGAACATAATTTAATAATTCATCAGTGGTCTGTATTGAATTATGGATATGGAAATAAATAAACACTTGGAGAATTTTTAAGACTGACAATTATTATTTCAATATTATAAGACTCTAGACAGTTAAGAGGTACTTTACTGGACGAAGACTTACAACCAACTAACTAAAGATTACTAGTAAGGCCCACATTGCACTCCTCTCAAAAGGATAATATAATTTCTCCTTCCATCCTCAACCCTTGGATCTTTCTCTTCTTGACCCTCTCTGGTCGCCAGATGTATTTTTGGAAAAACCCGAAATGAGAAAGTCCCTCCGGGACTTTCCCCTTTTTTTATAACATAAAAGGAAGGTCCCACAGCAACAAAGAAATAAACATTTCCTAAATCCGGAAATATAAAAACTCTAGAAGAGTGAATTTTGAACTCGGGGGAAAACCCCGAAATCCAACAGTCTGCATAAATGGTAATTGTATTGCGAATCGTGGAGTTCTTGACCAGAATTAATTTTCTCAAGTTGGGAAAGCAATTCTGGCCAATTGATGTTGCACTGTACTTGCCAAAGTATTTATCTTGTATACACTGACAAGTCGTAACACGTGGCGCCATCCAAGTTGGTCAAAACCATTGCTAACAATAGGCTCTGGAGTTGTGTCCCCTCAGGGTGGTATTTCCAGTGGTGACTGGTCAGCCACGATCAAACAGTCTCTAACCGAGATTTACGCTTCGCCAGAATTAAGTCCTCTGGGATCAACGGATTCCCATTCCACCGTGGAATAACCCGCACCCCATTCTCATCCATTTCTTGCCTGTCTCGGGTATAAAATTATTTTCCAAACTGTCCGACACATCTTGGTCAACAAATTTTATTTTTCCTGAGAAAATTTATTGCGTCATTTATTGGGGAATGATCGATGGGTTTTAATTCAAATGATTAACTGTGAATGGGACGCATGCACTTAGATTTTAATCATTAATTATTTTTTACGTGTAATTGTAATTTTATACTTCTTGTTGTTTATTGAATTCTTGTTATTTTTGGGACCTGATTTTTCTGGTACGTGGAGTTTGGTAATTAGTCTAATGATCTTATTAAAAAAGCACTTGAAAGTTTATAAATATTCCCTAAATAAAAATACTATTTTGTGGCTACTAGAACGAATTGTATTTATTTATGAGGACACGAAATAAAAATGAGTTCGAACTATTATTTATTTTATTTTCTTAGTTTTTATTTTAATTTAAAGTAAATTTTTAATTAAATAATTTGATATTTTTTGCTTACAATTTCATTTTAAGTTGAAGATTATTTTTATTAAATTCTGTCTATAAATTGTATTTTTTTTTATTATAAAAAATCTGAAAACTGCAATGAATAATTAACTTTCATAGCAAATTAAAAATAAAAATAGATTTTCGCTGAATTCTCTTCATAAACACTCGTTTTTCCTATTAAAAAATTCAACAAAGTAAAATAAAAAGGAAAAAATAAAAAAAAAATTGTAGCCAAAACGATAATTATTTCTTGAATGATTCGTCACGTTTTCCACGATGTGTTGCTGTCCCTCATCCGCCACAAGAGTAAAATCCCATCCGCAATTTTCCAGAGCACTCGTTTCAAAGTTAACATGAGTCACGTACACAAGGTGTGCTAGCACACACTCTTTACGAAATTTCTTTCCAATTTATCCTACCTAAGGATCGAATAGTCTTTTCCTCATTCCACTCACCTGCAGGTGCAGCACTGGAGGGTAAAAATGTCCGGTTGACGAGAGGAAGAGATGGGAAACGGTGGAAAATGTGTTGAAAACACAGAAAAAAAAATCCAGGAGGATGGGAAAACTGTGGAAACGGGGAAATTGGGAGTGGAAAGACGAGTCCAGGTATATGAGATTGGCCACGATTCGCCTTTCAAGAGTGGATGGGTATAAAGTTTTTTGTCGCCGGTAAACGAGAGTCTGGTCGCGTACGACAATCATGAAAAACAACACTACACTGTGATATCAACCGCGTGAAAATGCCTTTACCAATTTGTATGCAAAAATTTCTCTGCACGATATTTTCCTCTACCACATACAATCACTAGTTTATGGAGGAACGGTCAGAGATACCGAAAATGGAGGACTGCAAATCATTTGGTTATTTAACTTGAAAATTTTATCTCCCATTCGCATGGAGAAGAAAATATAATAATCATTGGTGGAATACTAAAGAAAAATTGTCTCGAAACGAAATTTTTTCATTCGAAAGTTGAATTCATTTGAGACTTCAAGGAGTCACGACTTTCCGCCCTTGGGGACAACTTTCCACCGTAGGGCGGAAAGTGATGAAGTGGGTGAAAAGTATTCATTTGCCATCCTAGGGTGAAAAGTTATCATTTTCCGACCTAGGGCGGAAAGTTGTCATTTTCCACCCTCGGGCGGAAAGTGTTCATTTTCCACCCTCGGGCGGAAAGTGTTCATTTTCCTCCCGCTTTTCAGACAGCAAAACCCGAAGTTTCCTTTGCAGACATGTTGAAAAATAGTATGTGCACATCGGGCGGGAAAATACTCACTTTCCGCCCTTGATGCACAATATACTATTAATCTCATTTCACCCCTCACTTCACGCAGCAGATGTCTAATTATTAATTTTCTTTTCACGCATAAAATCTCTCTCATTCCACACATGACCAATCGATATCGACTATCGAAGCACATCGTCCTAAACCTAGAGGCTGGCACAGTTTCAAATAACCTTCCTCTGGGAAAACCCCGGAAAACCCCATTTCCCCAGTAACTGGACCTACAGCAACAGTTCAGGGCTTCGATTCTCTAATATATGTTTGCCCTGAGGAGGTGGGTGTCATTTTCACTGGAGACTTTGAACTGTTGAAGAGGACCAGAACGAGAGAGGGAATAGGAAAAACTCTTTCCTGCACTTTTCACGGAGTATTCTCACTCTCAAGTTTAATGTAAGGTGAGAACACCCGAAACGGATATTCCTGGAGAAAAAGTGGAGACCCAGTGAGTTCCAGGGGCTTCCGGGAATTTCAGAATGGAAAGTCGACGTAAATAAACAAAATAACATTGCCTCCCCTCCGGAGATGAGAGAGGGAAGACTTACACTCCCTCAAGAAGCCCCGGTGAAGAGATACGACGATTTATTTAACATTTCTTTTTTCTTCTTTCCTCGGTGCTTCTCTCATCTGCTTACCTTCACACGCCTCATCACACTTAGAGAAAACTCCGGGATGTCCTGTCCTATCTTGGCTCGTTGTTTTCCACGTCTTTGTTCGTGCTTTTTCATAGTCACCGGTTCTTATTGCCGGGACGGAATCCGAGAGGTGCTTGTTTGCTTTTTCCGTATTTTTCTTGGTCGTTGGAGACAGCCAGTCTTGATTCAATTTTTCTTTCTGACGGTTTTACCGATTTTTTCATCGGCTTTTCGTTGATGGAAAGTTTTACCCAATGGTCTTAAAATTATATTATTTCAAACAAATGGAATTGAGGACTTTTCTTCTCTAGATCTAGGCATTTCATTTTTTTTTGTGTGATCTTTCAGGTTTAATAATTTATGGGTCAATAGTCAATATTTTTCTGCCAGTGAATTATGACAGATTTTTAGAAAGAAATGAGAATTTTTCATTTTTCATTTTTTTTTGTGGTCGTAATTAGTATTCCCCTAAAATCAAATTATTACCCCAGAATCCAGGGGATTCTGGAGATTCCAGCGAAAGAAAATCTGGATCTGACGAAGGTCGGGCTTTAAAATATAGAAATTGAACTTTCGTCCCTTCAGCAGCAGCCGTAACCGACAAAACACGATAAAACAACGGGGAAGACCAGCAGAACTATCTCCTCTTGCCACATAAAAAAAGGGAATGAAAATAAAGAAGAAACAGATAAAGAGACGGGTGGAAAGTACAAAACTGTAGCTTCGTTATAACGAGAACAGAACAACGAGAGGAAAAAGAACGGGGAAAGTAATAGACGATGGGAATGTTTGAATTTCCCAGTGGAAAAGCTCGATGTTTGTGTGACGAAAGGGGGAAAAGGTTAGGGGATGGGGTTGAAATTTCAGCGTTTCGGGGGGTCGATCAAAGCATCGAGGTGTCCATCGTGGTTTTCTACTCATCCACTGTCTGCTTCACTCGAATCGTGTAATCCAAGTCCAGAAACTGTACGAATCAGTTTCCTGCCTTTATCTCTCTGTATTTTTCTCTCTCGCATTTCCACTCTGGAAAAACGAATTTCGCTGACTCTCGGGGATTTCGTTGTTTCGGGGTGGACCTAGCGGATAGGGAGATTCACGAGGCCTCTTATCACTGGATTCAAACACATCAAGTGGAACTAATCACGTAATCACAATATTTCAGGATTCCTACGCGTTCTCGAATTTTTTTCTGTGGAAAAGATTCTATGTATGCTACACATTGTACATAATTATTTATTACATCCGCTCCCATTTCTCGAATATTCTCCAGGAAATTTCCGTTTGGAAATAAATTCTCAAAATAATTTCCCATTTTGAATCTAAGAAATAATGATTAATGGAAACTAATCACGCATTTAGAATTTTTCAGAATCAGGATTTTTTCCCACGGAAAAAATGACCGGGTAAAAATTCCCCGAAAAATTTCCGGGAATTATTTCCTCTTTTAAACTAGAAAATGCAATTACACAAACACACATCACCAATGCCAGTTTTATTTATTGCATCCTCCCCACAATAATTTGATTGCTCCTAGAAATTTGTGTAATAATGATAATAACAACAATAATAACAATAATAATAATGGAATAATATTTAAATAATGTAATATCATGTATAACTTGAATGAGTAATGAATAAACTATAATATGTTTATTTTTCATTTTCTCCGGAGATAAAAAAAAATAATGAACAAATGTCTATCATTGATTTCCATGAGAATATTTTCCAGGAAATAATTTCCATGTGGAATATTCAAAGAAGATTTATCTTCCGGAGTATTTTATTCGAGAGATTCGAGTGGGGGATTTATTTAATTTTTTTATTTCATCCGGAAATATTGCCGTAATCTGAATGATTATTTTATTGCAGGTATTGTGGCACCTCCCAGCAATGACTCAGTTAAACTCGAAGCTGGACCGTTGGTCAATGGCACTGGTGCACTTTATATCGCAGCCACGTGTGCATTTGCACTCATTCTCGTCGTTGGAAGTGTTGTCAGCGCTTTGTACATAAGAAATAGTAAAGCACGGGTACAAGAATCGCAGTAAGTATTTTTGGATATTCAGTAGAAAAAAATTTGCCTGTGTCTCCGGATAGACGAGAAATGCGGCACTAAAAAGACTAATTACGTTTGCCGATTAAATTTATTGCATTGAGAAAAAATTTTTCTTCAATCAATAATCTTTACTAATCACAAGAAAATATATTTGACATTGATAAGTCCGAGCCCGGTGGTCTGGCGTAGTGGTTAAGGTCGTTGCCTCACAACGGATAGGTTCCAGGTTCGATTCCCGGCCGGGTAGACTGGTGAGATCTAACCAGGTTAAAAAAAAAGTCCTGATCGCCACATAGTCTCTTCCGACTCGAAGCGATGTAAAATAAGCATTAAAAAAAAAATTGATAAGTCTTATGGGAGTAATAACACAGCGATTGCCAGATTTACTGGTGGAAAGAAAATATTATTGGCAAAAGAAATTTTTTTTCTCAGTGTACTCCGTGAAAATTCCGGCCGCGAAGAATATTTCATACTCGTAAGTAAATGTCTGTTTTTCGCACAAGTAAATCACATCATTAAATTAAATTAATGCATTTTTTTACCTTTATGTTATTTTTGTTGTACTGTTTTTTTAATTGTATATTCGTGTTTTAATTTCTGGTATTATTCCTCTTAATGTTGATATTATAATTGATTTTTTCTACAGTTAATCCATACCATTTATTTATAAAATAATTTACAAAAATATTCACTGATTTGAATTTGTTTTAAATTTCCATAAAAAATTCATTCGCTGATTTTCCGCGAACGAATAAAAATCAGGATTTTCCTTTTCCAATCAATCAAGGAAGACATGAATTCATAAAAAATCCTCCCCCCTCCCCCCACCCCCCAAAAAAAACATGAGGCCTATGATCTGAGGAAAGCGTGTGGGTGTGGGAAAAATCAATTGCCAACAAAAGAGGCGCGGATCCGGGGTGTGGATCAACAAGAAAAAAAAAGATATGGGAAAAAAAAACGTATGGCTCACATAGACAGGGGTATGAGCGTAACAGGGTGGTTCTTTCAAAGAGAAAGAGAAAAAAAAATTGAAGACGAACGAACGAGAGATGCGAGGGCTAGATTTTTCAGAGCCACAGGCATTGGAAAAATTCGTAAGGATAAGCGGGATACGTTAGACCCATAAGGGTAGATTTCCACGTCTACCTTTCCTCTTCTTTTCCCTCCTTTCTACCGGATGAAATATCCTTTCAATAAGCCAGGGTGATCTGTCGGTCGCTTGGCACCGCTCCACGACATTTTATTACACTGACATTGCCTGTTCGTGGATTTTCCACGAGTTTTCGAGTTCCCCGGATATAAAGCTGAGGGTAGATCCGTCAATTTTCACCGGATATAAATATTCGTTATGATTAACAATGAGTTACCGGTTAATTACCGAGATGGACATTTATATCGAATTAAATCGAAAGTCTCGATAGTCCTTATTATGGAAGTAGAAACACAAGGATGAAGTTGGCCCGAGTCGAAATATCTCGAAACGCGTGGGACTGATTCCTCATTGGTCGCCTCGAACCGCCAAATTCAAATTCGGCGCGAAGTGCGCAGTAGGTCTGGTAGACATTTATCTGTAATAAATAATAAAAACGACTTTACCCTAGAAACAAAAAGTTATGAGATTGCGTGGATCAACTAGGCAAAAGCACACCTTTTGTCTAGTCAATTAAAGAAAGGTGAAATCTCCTGACAGATAATCCTTCGGCCTGAAATAATTTTTTGAACAAAATGAGATTCTCTTGTTCCGTGAGAATTTTTAATTGACGTCTGGATCAGAAATTATGTCCTCATAAATTTCTCTCGTGACGGTTATACCTAGAATTTTCTTTTTCTTAAGATTTTGATTACTTAATATCGTGCAGAACCAACATAACTAATTAAGATCAATCTTCTGTACACTTGAACTGATAATGAAAATGAATAATGAAAGAAACTGAAATGAAAGAATTCTCTTGAGACGAGAGACGTCACTTCCTGTTGAAACACTTCTCTTTCACTTTGAGACCAAAAGAGCCATCAGAAAATTCCACGATTTTTTAAATTACCAAGAAATGGAAACAGTTAAATATCTTGAGGCACTTACCGAGATTTTATTTTTCATAATGTCGAAGGAATCCTTGCACCCATCACAGATAAAACAATCAGCAAGCCTTGGAACAAGTAAAATTCACGAATTTCCAAACTTATCTCATCCCTCCACTCGGGATTGTCTCGAACTCGAATATATTAGCTCTTTTGAGGTCTCTGCCAGGCATGATAACCAAAGGGCGAATGCAGGAATCCATCCCCTTTTCACTCTCCATCCGGAGAAATCCTCGCCCTACAGTTGTGCTTGGTAAAGCGGCAAATTTTACAATGGTACTTGTTCCAAAGGATCCTCTCATGTACCAGACCTATTGGTACTTTCTCTCTCATGGCTCACCCCGGAGACGAGACATTTTCTCATCCAATTGGAGTTAATCTCCAAACGAGTATAGGATTTCAATTACCCTCCTACATTTTAAAATTCGTTTCAATTCCAGAAATATTTCCCCTTGGAATTATTCCGGGAATTTATTTTCGGGAGGTATTTTCCGGGAAATTTTCTCTTTTTATCTTTCTATTGTCTCAATTACTGGCACTTTCTCCATGAAAAGAAGAGTGAGAAGTTCAGAGGAAATAATACCGATTTCTTTGTTGTTTAGATTCGTCCTTTTATCGATACTTTCGTCATTATTTCCATCCGAATATCCGTTCTGCGGTGAGATAAAAAACGTTGGAAGTTGTGAAGAGTGGGATAGGGGTTGAAGGGACGTTTAAGTCCCTTTGATCCTGTTTTCGATTTCGTTATAATCGAGTGCACAGTGCGAAACGATTTGACGGACCCACGATGACCACAACAAATCGATTGGAATTTCACATTTTTTTTTACTTTCATCCCGACTCCCCCATTTTCACTATTCCCACAGTATCCTCCCCTTACGAGATTTTCCTGAATTCACAAGTCTCCCCAACAGGTTCACCTCTCGGTCACAACGGGAAAAAAACTAATTCAGATTCTTTTTTCTCTAGCTTCTATATTCCCCAAGGGTTGCCGGATTTTTAATTAAACAAGGGCGATATCAAGTGACAAATTTAATGGAAACAATTTTCAAGAAATCACTCGTATCAGTTATGAACTTTTGGTAATTAAATTCATCATTCGTCTATTGACTTTATTGATGAACAATACAAAGCAGAATGACATCGATATACAATTTTTTAAATAAAAATTTTCATCGCATAAAGTTACTTTTGTTAATTAATTATTTAATTATTTTGTTAATAATTTAAGAGATAAAAAATAATTAAATAAACCTAACAAAAAGTGCGAACCGGACATGATTCTGTTACACTCGACAGATATTGTGAAGGTCATAACGTCTGAGAATTTTCGAGAGTCTAAAGTTTCAAGTCATTGAAAATGAAACCGATTTTTAATATTTGAACGTTCATAATTTAAAAATAAATAAAACAATTCAAAGAAAGAAGTATCACTTGATCCCAGTGGCCTAGTAAACCCTCTCTCTTCCACATTCAAACACATAACGCTAACTCTTAATTATTACAAACCACTTATGTTAATTTAGGTATAAAGCCCACGGCTGGTGGTCTAGTCTTATTAATCATTAAGTATAAATAAATATGTAGATACTGTACATATAATGTAAAAAGACATAATAAGCGTTGAAGTAAAGTAAAGTGGTCTGGCGCAGTGGTTAAGGTCGTTGCCTCACAACGGCTAGGTTCCAGGTTCGAATCCTGGCCGGTTAGAATAGTGAGATCTAACCAGCTTTAAAAAGTCCTGATAAATCGGCACATAGTCTCACCCGACTCGAAGCGATGTAAAATAATCATTAAAAAAAATATGTGAAAGTTTATTCTGTGAGCTTTTAGATGACATCACATATACACATTACGCTTCATCAATTTCCATGGGGGTTGAAAAGAGAACTATTTGAAAGCTAATTTCGTAAGCTTCAAAATGACGTAGCACATGTATTGTTCGACCGAAATAATGAAGGACTTTGAGAGCTGAAAGTGTCAGCTGACTCAGAGTGACGATTTTTTTATTAAAGAACCTCTACATGAATTCATAAATTTCTTTTCTTTATTTTTCATTTCTCCCCTTGGATACTGTACTCCAATAAACTTGGAGATTTGAAGAGAACTTCTCACACTCGTTTTCCCGGTGTTTCGGGGTCTTTAGAAAGGAAATAAACGGTAATTCTCGGGTTTTACATTTTTATCGAAACGTCAAGGGTCCATGAAGTACATTGCATGGTGGAGAAATGTAAAAAGGATAAAATGTGCTGGAGGACACTTGAGAAAAACTGGGGGCGGAATTTTAGTTACGTCGAAGTGGACAATTTTATGATTTCAAAGGTTTTTTTTTCTCCTCCGTCGAATGATGGAAAGGTTCATCCATCTAAAGTATTCGCTTGCACCTTTTCCATCAGCTCCTCAGCACTAGTTTCTCCTCAATAATTAGATAATCAATATTCATATTGAAAATTCAAGGGGAAATTTTTATTTTTTGACCTATCATCACCCCAACGTAAAGCGAGGAATGCAATGATAGAGCACGAATGAAATCGTTTAACACAAGTGTCGTAAAAAATACTCTCGTTTTATTGGATGTCATTCTCTCACGTTCAACTAAATTCATAAAGCTTGATAATGGGAGGGAAATTGATGACGGCGGAAGGTAATCCAACTGGTGCATTAAAAGAAAATATCAAAAAATTAATTTGAAAATCAATTTCGTGAGATAATCACTCCAGCTAATAGGTCTAACAAATTTTTCTGACGAGAGATGATCTTGCCATCATGTAATATATAAATGAAAATAGTAATTTCGATTAATTATAGCTTTTACTAACCATTAATGATGATGCCGTGTTGAGAATTGTGAATCCAAATTAATGTCCGAATTAATTTTTAATAAAAGAAATAAGTCCTCAAGAGAAAATGGTTGAATTTTCAAAGCTAATTTTCAAAAATGATTATTCATACCTAGAATATTTACGTAGGACATATTTCATAAAAGGAAATATCAAAAATGATTTCTTAAAAATTGCAGTTTATGAGAAGGATTTAATTAGGAAGAATTGATCAATTCGTTTTTTTTTCAATCAAGATAGTCTTAATTTTTTTTCATCCAACTAATTTTCTTCCATACTTCATTCAAATAAATAATTAATAAAGAATTTTAACGTTGACAATCGCCTGAATGATCTATTTGACGATGGAGTCGACCCAAACGGGACTATATCGATTTTTCAACGAGTCTCGGGAGAATGTAAATATTGAGACTTGACAGAATGATGAATTTAACAATAAAACCAGGTTAGGTTCCATTCTTGATCCCGGCTCGATACTCTATGTTGCCTCAGTCTTCGTTCCATCGATAAACGCTCCTCACCAAGAACAAAGACCTAGAAGCGAATGGTAATTAAGATTTTTAATGTTCCATGCGCGCACTCAAATGTATCCGTTAAAACACTCCAATTAAACCAGCAAATTGAATTTCACTGTGAAATACGCACACGAGTGATGTGAAATTTGCGTAGTGAGTAGTGGAGGATCCTCGCAAAATCAGATTCATTGTTATGGTCATTGGATCTCCGTTAATCACTTGTACATCACGTGAATTCCAGATGAGAGATGGGCTCTCACCCCAACTGTCGCATTGAGCGAGTTAAGGATCCACTTACCCCAACCCCCAATTTTCGTCATCCCTCCTCATGGTACAGAGGATCTCGTTATGCCGAGGAAATTCCCAGGACAATGGCCCAAAGACGAATACACACACGTACACGTAATGGAAGTTTATACGAGAGAATGGGAATACCGTCTCTCTCATTCTGCGGCGATCTTACAAATTCCCCGGCGGAATATGCAAATCAACCCTCGACAATATCGCGCGACTCTTCTTCTATGTTCTTATCGAATCCAATGCGATATGCGTAGACGTATGGAGAAAGGAATTCCGTGACTATTTTTTATCCTCCTTTTTTTTCCGCTTATCGTCAGTCAGCCATTAGCATATTCAAACAGATTGTTAAGGGGCTGTGATAATTTGCTCTTCCATATTTTCACTGCTCTCCCTCTTTCGGTTGTTATATTTAACGCAGGAATTGTCGACAAACGGTAAAAATTACGGGAAAACTGAAAAAATTACGGAAATCTCACGTAATTTTTTCGGTATAAGTAAAATGTCACAAGAAATTTTTTTATTTTTTTTTTAATTTCTCTATAATTTTGGGGAAAAATGACGGGAAAAAAAAATATTTTATTTCCCAAAGATGATGAAAATGTGAAGCATTGACCAAAAAATACAATACCTCCATTATTTTGGAGTCTAAAGCTGCAACTTGTACACCTCTAAAACCTCTCGAGCCCATTAACCATAATTTAATACTTCTCCAGGATTTAACTCCAATGAATTTTAAAACAATGGAGAAATTTCATATTTCTTAATTCCAGGAAGACATTACCATGCTGCAGCTACTCAGCGGCTGGAACTGGAGGTCTGACCGGAAGTTCAGTACTCGTGAGGGTAGACCCTAGGCCAGGAAGTGCCAACTCTGGTAGCTACGCGACAATCGCCGACCTAGAGCCACTCTACGCCCGACCCTGTGGATCTCGCGCGAGTTATTATGCCTCCAGTCATGTCACACACGTCAGTCAGGTAACATTTTACAAGTAATTTTGGTAAATGTCTAGTTCAAGTCCACCAAACCATTCTCGATGTTTTATATTCGATTGGATGGGTTTTCGTCACCTAATTAAGGATCTGGTCACCTTTTAATCCGGAAACAATTAGTATGGGAGATATGATATTTAATACACCGCTCTATGCGTTATCCAGGGCCACGGCGAGGACGTGGCGGTGTGTCGGCCCCAAAGACACCACATGTTGGCACATTTATAGACATTGGACACACAGAAAGATGGATTTCATCAAATATTCCTGAACACTTCACTAAAACTCTGAATTCACCTCACCCGACCATCTACCATCGCTGACTGAACACAACGAGTGATTTATCCACCGCTACCCTTCTGTAGCAATTCAAATTATTGAATTTAATATCACTCACTCGTCGTGTTAACAGCGGCAGCAGGGGGAACGGGGGTTTAAGGAATTATCAGGGACAACAGAATTTACCTCAGGACTATTTTTCGATGTATTTACCTCCTTGTTGTTTCTCACTCTCTTCTTCCGTCTTGTTAATGGGAACTGAGAGGATAAGAATGAATTTTTCGTCAAAGAATTTAATATTTCAATGATTTTTGTTTTTTTGGTGGACCTAAACCATACATTTACCGTAATTTTTCTTCTCTTGTCTTTCAAGAAATATCTCACTTCGAAAATATATCATCTTTTCATTCAGTCAATCATTCACTACCTCTCCAGCCCGTAGACCACTACAAATTGGTCAAAAATGTAGCAATATTTTTTACTGCCGAAATAATTCTCGCGATATCAGGGCAATATTTCTCTCAGAGTGGGCGTCAAAGAGCAATTGAAGAAATCCTGAGAAGAAAATATCATCATTACAGCGGAGAAATTTGTTGAATGAGGGGGAGATAAGACAGATAATTTCCGGGCCTGTGAAGAGGGTTCTGCTTGTTGACTATACGAGACGCTCCCGGAGGGAACGTAGATGCAAATGCGACAGGAATTTCACGGGTATAAACAGTGTCCTCGGGCACACAAATTCTGGAGAAACAAAACGATGGTACCATGTAGGGAAACACCTTGCTCTATGCTATCTACTTCACCTAGCGACAGTATTGTATAAACTTGTTGTTCAAGACTCTATTGAAATCAGAAGCGGAGGACTTGCTCAGAGAAATGAGTTACCAGTTACAATTCCTCATCAAAGTTTGAATAGCGAGAGATTGCGGAAAGATGAAATTAAGATAAAAAATTTGCCCTAGCTAAATTAAAGTTGCGCTATGCGAAGAAATCAGGTCTCTAATGCCATGAAGAAAATATTTGCTTTCTGTATTTTCCCCGTAGTTGAGGGTTTGTTATCGCTGGCGAATGAGACGAATTCGATTCTCAAAATAGCGCAATTGGTTGGGACAATCTTCTCACAATCGAGAAGTTGTAGGTTCGAATCCCACGTTCACCCACAAATTTTTCCGAATTAAATTCTACGAAAAGGTCAAACCCTGAGTTTTCCCACGCACTGAACAAAATCTATGTGACAGTTGACCCATAAGAATCAGCAAATTCCAAAAAAATATTGACCAATTCTTCAGCTGAATTGACCTCCGGCTCCGAGTAGCAAAACGATTCTAGGGGTAATTGAGTTCTCCTTGAAGGTGAAGCACCTTCTGTGCAAAAAAATGAAACGAATTCTGCACCATCATATATTACGTCTCCGACTCGACAAGCAACAGCTCCTGAGACGTCATACGCCCCACCTCCACAAGAGGGAGTACCCGTCTAAAGGCATACGCGTACACCCAGTAAATTGATCCAAGATCAAAGCCGAAACAATCACAGGACCCACTTGTCTGAGCCACCCCTCGACCCTTTAGCCCAACGTCTTCGTCTTTTATCCCCGGTAACCTCTCTCTCTCCCTCTTTAGATGCTTGAGGAACGAACCAACCGCGTGTGTAACCTTTCCATCTACCTCGAGACTCCCTTTTCTCATTCCAACCCTCGTATATTCTCTCGAGAGAGACCTCTTCCCCAAGTCGCCACTCACTCTCTCTTCTTTCAATGGAGAAAGCAGAGGAAAAACGTTGGCAACTCTATTTCTCATGCTTTCACGGGGAAATTAATGTGGAGGTGACATGGAATATAAAAGAGTAAATGACAACATCTCGGTGCGTCCTCGAGTAACAGAAACAGATGAGCCACGCATTTTTCAAACTTTCGGGGAATATTCGGAGGTTCTGTCAAGGTCAAGTATAGGTCAATCGGGTATTGGAAGATTTTAACGAGTGAATGACATTTTGGCGTGACTTCCAGTAACAAAAAAGATGAGACAGACATTTCTCTATTTTTAGACTGAGAAGATTGAGAGGTTCGGTGAAGGTCGAATATAGGTCGATCAATTATATGGAAGTATAAAAGAGTGAACATCTCGGCAAGTCTTTGAGTGACTGAGAAACATGAGACGGCCATTTTTCAGCTTTCAACGGAAAACATTCAGAGGTTGTGTGAAGGTCAAAAAGGTCAATCCATTAAAAAAATTTCGTACAGTTTTATGGATTTTTGTTAATAATATCTGCAACGTAGATGAAGTTTTACAATTAACAATTAACTATTTGTTTTGACAATTTTTATAAAAACTTGATTTTGTGGAATTTGCATTTATTATGATGTATCTGGAAGACTTTGTAAACTCCACAGTCCCTCATTCTCTCCTCTCCTCCCATTTATGAACGTACCCAGAAAAAATACATAAAAACAAGTACAAAGGTAACATGAAACGAAAGAAAACACAATGCGTTGAGCAACTGAGAGGAAGCTCCGCATTTATTTTTCCATTTTTTTTTTTCGTTCTTTCATCCAGCGCCTTTTTGAGAAAAAACCCGAGGCTTCACCCCTTGACTCCACCGATGGGGATCAAAGGGGCAAACGTTCGAATCCAAACTTTCTCGTGGTGAAAAAAAGTTGAGGATGCTAGTTGCCAGGAGGTTTCAGCAAATTTTTGTGGAATAAAAGGAATTCAATGAGGAAAAAGTGAAAACAGCAAACTCGCTTGAGATGACTAGCTCCTATACATTACTTGTCCGACTGCCTTCGGACTATGGACCCCGGGGGGATGACGGGGTGAAATGGTGAATGAAAGCCCCGGAAGAGATCAGGGGGGATGGAGAGCAAGCGATCGAGTAAAAGCAAGGAGAAGTTGTAGAAGAGCAAGAGAACACTCAACCACAAACTCGATAAAGTTCCTCGGATTCGCTACTGCGCTTTTCGATCCGAATAGTCGTCTTGCATGGCTTCCACTTTCATTTTTATTCTCGTTACTTTCTCTCAGAGATGTAAAAAAAATCATTCATTGAATAAAATTGATAAGAAAGGTATAACAAAAAATTGAGGTATATTGCGAGAAGACGACGACTTTTTTTTGTGGAAATCAATTATTCAAGAGAAATAAGAAAAGAATGGAAACATTGGAGTTGTATTTGAGTTGAAAAAAAGATTACTCTACGTCATTTCGGTATTGACCCACAAATTTGACCTTTGTAGGGCCCATTAAGGCCCAGTCAGGGTTTTGACCCACAATTCTGACCTTGACACGATCAAGTGAGAATTTTTCATGCAGTCTGCAGTCTAATCCGTACAATATATATTTGTTTATATTATCCACAAATTGCGCTCTAAAAAATAAAAGTAACAATAAATAAAAAATAAAAATAAAATAAAATAAAAATTTTCACACGTATGGGCTGTTATCATTTGACATCAAAAATCTAAATCTTCAGAGAATCTTAAATATCTAGAAAAATTACCCATAATTTATGTTTTTTTCTTTAATTAAATTCAATTGATAAATACAATATTTTTTTTCTTATTCCAGAAAAATTATTTTATTAAAATGGTATATTATATTATAGTATATGTATATATATTATATATAAACTATGTTGTATAGGAGAGGGAATACGGTAGAGAACAGAGCAAAAAAGCTGGAATATTAAAAAAAAAAAATTATTTTTTTACTGATAAAAAGGTGGGCTACACAGAACTCTCGATTTTTCGGGAATTTTCATTGTGAATCGGGTAAGGACATGAAAGGGACAATCTCCGGTCAGTTTGCAATTGAATTTGTGCCCCTAGTCTCTAGTTAAAATTCCAGTGCGCGACGAAATATGAAAAACAACGGAACACCCACCAGTCTGGGGGTGAAAAAAAAGTCACCCCCTTAAATCATAAAAATCGAGCCCATAAATCTGTTGTTCCCTTCACCCACAATTCTTTTTTTTTAATCAAAGGCTGCGAGTCAAATAAATTTTTCGTCTCATTACCATAGGAATGAGTGCACTCCCAGGAAAGAGTTTCAATTCTCCCCGCAATTCTTTCGAGCTGAAAAAAAAAATCCTCACCGCTCTCGACATGAAAACAAAAACAAAAAAAAAATTGTGAGAGAGAGAAATTTACGAAGTGGTAACGGTACCTGCGTAATCAGCCAGAGAGGAAAGTCTGGGGCCGATATTGAAATCGGGAAATAATTTACGAAAGCCAGTGTCACGTAGAAACTCATTCTAACACATACACATGGCATGAGGGCCAGCGTTGAAATACATAAAATGCAAATACACTAATACTCAACGGCTTATCGGTTGGATTTTGGCCTTTTCCCCTGCAATTATTAGAGGTCCTCGTTATGTCCACTCGTTCCACGGATATTAATGGTAACGTTAATGCACGATATGTATAATTAGCACACTGATGATTCGTAATTAATGCTCTAGATCCATTATTGAGTCATTATCTATATTTTGGGGTGAAAAATTCACGGGGAAATATTCGGAAAAATTACCGTGCCCGCACTGGACTCATACGTAAAAAGCATATATCCAGAAATATATATCAATTATATCTAGATATATTTGAGATATATTTCTAAAAAAATATATTCGATTTTTTTTTTTCAATTAAAAAACTCACGTAACCCTTTGTGTCAGCTTTTTTTGGCGCTATGCATATGAAAATATATCTATATAATATGATATATATATATATATAATAATAATATTCAATATTTTTATTTTTATATTATATTATCCTAAATTTATATAATGTAATATATAAATTTAATATAATTTATCAAAAAAAATTAAATTAAATTATTTTTTATTTAAATTTTTAGACTTTTTTCTTTCTTCTTTTTGAAATTCCATATATGTATATATTATATTAGAAATAACCGTGAATATATATATATATTCCAATGATAACATCCCATACGTGGACGATTTGGCGCGCATAGCGCGTCATATACGCTAGTAAATAATAAAAATATACATTGAATATTAAATTTGAATTGAAGGAAATAAATACTCATTGATTATCAATAACTTTTAATGAAAAATAAATAAAATATAAAAAACTCAAATCGAGGGAAAAACGGATATCAAATGTCAGATAAAAGATTTGAAAATTTAATTCCACATAGAGTTCAATCCTTCACAGATCCGAAACTTCAATCCATTAAAAAACTAAAAATCCGTTAGCATCTGCTCCCATCACATGTTCCCCAGCCTTGAAGCCCATTCCAGCCATTTAAAAATCCACTGAAGCGAAAAAGCTTCACCTCTGATATCACTCCCATCAGCAAAACTCTCCATAATAAAAAGAGAAAAACGTGAAAAATTGTTGGACCATTTTTAACCATTCCACCGCTATTAACGAATCACTTAATCAGCATTCCCTTTCATCTCCCCGATCACCATCCGAAAAATTCAATTACGGATCCGCCATTTGTAACGAGGGAGTAGAAAAAAAAAAATTGATATTGGAACTTTTAACATACGTTCTATCATCCTTAAAAAGTTTTTAATAAACCACCGTCATGTACTCTTGAGTTCCCCTGACATGAGGGATCCAAGAAAACCAGAGCCCAGGGCTCTCTTTCATCGCGGCGCTAGTTTTTTTCCCTCTTGATTTCAATATCCACCCCCAGGATGGATCCTCTGGCTTCTCGATTCACCTGTCCTGTGTACCATCACTGCTAATGCGTTTTCATGGTTTTTTTTTTTCAACCCCCTTTTTTTCCGAGGGGATTCGCCATCAATGTAATACGTCGTTAGGAATGTCGTTGTGTTGGGCAAATGGAGGCAAAGAGCAGGGGTTGAAGAGAGGGAGGAGTGAAAGGCAAAACTCCGGAAAATTGAAATTAATGAATAGCCAGACCTCTCAGTCTATCCTCTACTATCTCATCAAGGGTGATTCTCTCTTCTCCAACCCCTGGAATGCTTCACTCTACCCCTTTAGCAAAAAGGGATTGATATCTAGCGAGGATCAAGTACTCGACAAGAGCGAATATCACTTAACTGGTTTTGCTCATCCCGGAGAATCTTCCACTCGTCTTGAATTTTCCAGGTGCTAGCGTTATGGCTCATTTGTTGAATTAAGCAAATGATTTTCTCCTTGCAGAAATATTTTTATATTTATTTTATCTCAATTATTTCCTCGACGACTGCGTAACAATTCGTCAATTAAATTTTAGTAAATACGACATTTTCCAGGTTATAATTAACAAATAAAAATATTTATATTTTTTATGTTTTTAATTTATTGAATTCATGACTTATCCGCTATTTCGCAACTTTAAAAAGGCGCGTCATTTGAATAATTTGTTATATTAAAGGATTTTAGTAAATACATAATTAATGCCACTTGGACTTTGTAAAAATGATTATGTAAAAATTACAGACGACTGATCCCTGTGACAAGGCTCGAGCAATGGCTATTCCACGGTCAGCATTATATTGTCGAAGTTTAGTCCAAGAGGGAACATTCGGTCGAGTCTACAGAGGATCCCTGAATGTAGCTGGAAAAGATCAAGAAGTCTTCATCAAGACTGTAACAGGTGAATAATGCAAACTGACGGAAGAGTTGTTTTATAAACTGGACGTATCCCTTCGAGCATTTTTCCCCTCACCCCCCCCCCCCCGGCATTCAGTCATAAATGCAACAAATATTTTATACAACTGATAGTCGATGTTAACCATATTTGATTCTATTTAATTTATCCGTTCAATGAACCGAGAACTGCCTGAGGCAATTGAGCATTTGGTAATAGTTATTGAATCGGAGTTGAACGCTCCATCTAGTTGAGGCCCAACTACATCTCTACCCATCCCACCAACTGGTCGTTCGATAACTATTCCCTAATTATCCAGTTGTCTCAATCTTAATCTCCGACTGACCCGTTCGATAACTGTCGCCACTCGATTCGGTTGGTATTATTGAAATGCGCCGTAAGGTAATAATCACTGAGCCTTTTGAAACATCAATCAAATTCTATCAGTGAATTTTTTCCTCTCATCTCGCAGCATGACTCAAGCCATTACATAATTTACACCATATAATACGTAGCAATGAACTAATTAATCAATCACTCATTGAAAATTATAATAATCGCATATAAATAACCGACTGCTGATAAGGTAGGAACCCCCGCTCCCTCCGTCCCTTACCATCAGTCGGTAATGTAGGAAATGTGATCGACTTGTTTCTCAATTCAATTTTTTGAAATTCTTCTGGACTGATTAATTTTTGACGGGCGTTCTAATAATAATGAGATGGTGAACACCATTTGCAGAATAATTAAACAGGGAGATGGTTATCATTATTAATTAATGAATACAATTGTTTCAGAAGTGGCATCTGCGTATCAGGCATCACTTCTCGTTGTGGAAGGCTCACAATTGGCTGGGCTTGTTCACGTTAATATAGCATCACTAGCTGCTGCCTGTTTGGACACACCTTGTCCATTATTAGCATACGCTTGTGCATCGAGTGAATTAAATTTAAAAACCTACCTTACCGACGGTGTTCATCATCCAGTTACCAGAGATCTTGTTAATGTTGGCGTACAAGTGGCGCGAGCTGGTGCATTTCTCCACGGGCGGGGTCTCCTGCACAGGTACAAAATCATTACAAAATTTTTGTTTCTAATTCAAAGTTAGAATGAATAAAAAATACATCTGAAAAATCGACAACTACAAAAATTAATGCCCGCAATCTCCAGCGAAGTGGAACTAGGATAACGGTTTTTTATTAAAATCCTGTTTTTAGCGAATAGTTTGGAATCTAAGGGAGATACCGATATTTTGGTGAATTCATTTTTTACGGAGAAAAACAAGAGCTACAAAAAAGATCCTCATAGAAACATCCGTTTCTGGGCCCAATTCGAAGATATTCACCAAAAACTGGACTGAAAACCGCCTTTAAACGATTATAAATAATCAGAATGGATTAATATATATTATTACCAAATCATAATTGAGGACTTGACAGCGAAAACAGACGATGATTAATGAAATGAAATTTCAGTTTGATGAAGATTCAAAAAGGAAAGGAGTGGTAGAAAATACTTTTAAAATATTCACTGACGAGCCCAGAGATCGATAATTTCTTACCGGACGGATTGAATAAATTTGAATAAATAAAATGAATTTTAATTTGAATTTGGATGGGAGATGTTTGATGTGATTATTATGATATGCAGGGATATCGCAGCGAGGAATTGCCTAATCGAGCCGAGTAGTTTTCGAGTGCGTCTGGCAGACGGGGCATTAGCGAGGGATCTTTTCCCCCAGGACTATCACTGTCTTGGGGACAATGAGAACAGGCCCATTCGTTGGATGGCCCTGGAGAGTCTTCAGCTTAATCAGTACAGCACTGCGACAGACGTGGTAAGTCATTAATGCACCGAATTATCCGGCACGGTTTTCCAAGGGCCATTAAAACTTGGATAAATGCTACCCTTTCCACGAAAATTTTACGGAGACAAACGTTCAATAAAAACGACGTGTCTTTTCCGTAATTGCCCAGCTAAATGGGGCTGTAGGAAATTTTACGGAACTCTCGCGTAATTTTTATCTAAAGTCACGGAATTTTTCAGTGGCGTTCCGTAATTTTTATTTGAATTACCTGTGATAAATTACGATACGATACTTTACGCACTAAAATTCGACTTTTTCATCGATTATCGGATTTATGGGTGGTAGGTCACTTTTTCCCTGGACATAATTTCCCAGACGAAATTTCCTTTTGGTCCTTTTCCCCGGACCAAATTTCCCTGGACAAAATTTTCCGAAAAACCTTCCAGAAAAAGAAATCAATTCTTATGATTCTGAGGGTATGATTGGGTATTTGAAGAGGATTGCAAATATCACATCATATTAATTATTGTATTGACGTTATTTTTTGGCGTAATTGAAGGTTAAAATTAATATGGTCGCGATGTTGCCTACGTTCTGAGTGGGAGCGCTGGAAGTTGTTGGGTTTTGTATATTATGATTCATGTCAGTTCATTTGAAAATTATTTGGCGTTGAGTTTCGCTGGTACGAGACATTATGTTGAGATTTTGTATTGCTATTGTTTGTGTGAATTGACGATTGTTCATTCATCTATTTCAATTATTATGGAGAATAATCATTTTTGTTTCCATTTTTTGTGTGATTTGGCAATACAATGTCGTGTAGTGGAGGATTTTTTTTCTTTTCATCATCATTTTTTCTTTCTTGCTCCCTAATTTTAGTTCCAAAATGATATTTTTGTTTTTTGGGGGAAATTTTGTACGGGGGAATTTTTTTACGGGTAATTTTCTTCGAAGACATTTTTTGGAGGGAAATTTTGTCCGGGAAAAAATTCCTCTAGAACCGTATTTATGTAATTGCTGTAACCATTCGTAAGAGAAAATTCCACATGATTCCCTTCAATTTCAGTGGTCATTCGGCGTTTTCCTGTGGGAATTAGCGACAATGGGGCAACAACCCTACGTGGAAGTGGATCCCTTCGAGATGATGGCCTGCCTCCGTGATGGCTATCGCCTGGTGCAGCCCCGACCCTGTCCCGACGAGCTCTTCACAGTAATGGCAGTATGTTGGCTAGACATCGCCCGAGATCGGCCAACAATGCCCCAACTCCTAGCATATTTACAAGAATTTCACGACGCCCTCGGTGGATTCATCTAATTCCCAAAAAAAAAGCCAAATGAAACAATCAAATTTCTCTCAGCAACAAAACTACCAAAACAAATCAAGAGAGCACAATCAAAAAATCACAGAGAAAATAAATCTCCAAAATCCCTCAATTGACTCTGGAAATAAATTTCCAGTTTCTTTCATTCAGTCGTTCATTGGAAAAATGAATAAAAAATATCTGAACCGAGCAAATCGAATCCCAACGGAATCACGAGGACAATAGAGTGCACACGATGGGATTCTGATGGAGACTCCTTTAACCCTCACTTTATCCTCAACCCCTACAATTCTCTTGCTAGCTGCGTCGAGACGATGGGAAATTCGACGATTTTTTATTCAGGAACAATTTGCCATGAGATCGTGGGGAAGTGTTCAAGAAACTCATGATGTGTGTTGAGTGTATTGGGGGCTAGGGGGTGGTTATAAATTGCGTCTAGAATGTGCTCCTGGAGTAGTCAAAAAACGATACGATCTAGGGAAAAGAAATCGCGAAAAATAATCCAAGTGATATCACAGAGGAGCATTTCAAATGATCAATGATCTTTAATTCGACTAGACACTCAGTATTCCTGCAAATTTAACTGACAACAAATTAATCAAGTCGCAAAAAAAAATGAAATAAATCATTGAAATCATGATCGAATTGGAAAATATGTGAAAGTAATATAAATAGAGATGAGTGGAATTGCGTTAAAAGGAAAAAAATGAACACGAAATAATAAGAGGAATGAAAATGTTGAAAGTGTTGAGTTCTTTTGGAATTTCGACGGCTTCTGCATTAATTTGCGCTTGAAGAAATAGTTTTGCAGTTTTATTTTCCAGAGAAATTGTTTCAGCGATTTTATCAAGTTGAAAAATGACAGATCAATGATCAATGGATGAATGAATTGCGCACAAATTCAACGGATTCTAGTGAAAGAAAAGGAATGAGGGCAATAAATACAAAACTCAATGGCTCTTGGCTCGCGTAAATCTTTCTCTTCCATCGTACTTGTCCTCAATTACGAAACTGATATATTTGCAAAGCAAAAGGTACGACTGAGCGACTGATAGTTGAGGTTTTATCGTTTCACTACACTAAAACCATCTTCGAAGAGTAAATTGTCTCAGTTGTTTCATGGGTCTATGAATTATTCCATCGGGACTGATATTTTTTATTGCGCAAATATTTCTGAGAGCTAATACCAAAGATCTGAATATCTAACAGCTAAAAAAATCATTGACTTCAATAAATAAATCTAATCAAATAAGCAATTTGTTTATCAAATCTTTCTCATTTGTACAAAATATTTCTTAAAAAGATCCCCCATTTTTTTGGATGTAGATATGTGACAGGCAATTGGTAATAAAATAATAAAGTAAACAAAAATATATCTCTGGGAAAAGGTGAAGGCTAGACTGAACTTGTAGAAGTTTTCAAATTTTTTATACCGATGAAGAAAGTCTGTCCTTCCCAGGGACTTGTAAATAAAACCAAGGACGTAAAATTTTCTAATTGTACTAGATGTTTATATGTCGTATATTTCCAACATTGAAATAAAAACTTATCTTTTCTATCCCTCTCATCCCTTCTCAGCTCATCACAACGTAAACAGACTGGTGCTAATAACAAAAAATAATACTGAAACCCCGAAACTTTCACCTATTAGTCAACCGTAAACCAAATTTTCTAGTTAATGAACGAAAAATTTCACTATTACTAAATCTTAAGATCTTAACTACTACCCAATACTTTACGACGACAGCAAGAGTCAAATGAATGGAATGGAAGGACGAGTGAATGTAGCATTGATGGAAAAAGGATGATTTAATGATTGAGTGGAGGAAGAAGATAGAAAGAAATATATTTTCATTTTTGTTATTTGAATTGTTAACGCTGACCTTGAGGTCTAGGATTTTTTTTGGCTAGAAACCTCAGAGTCCTCGGGACTTTCTGATCCTTTGATTTCACGGGAATGCTAATTACAGTCAAACGAAAGGTGATAATTAAGGAATTAGCAATCGGCAAAATTTAATTTAGAAATTCAAAACGAAATTCCACTCGCGACATAAACAGGAATTATCACTTCCAGGAACGCAACCCTCACTCAAAACCTAATTACCTAGACGTCAAACATTTTTTAATGATTTTAATTATTTATTAACGTCTCGTTTTCAAGGTCATGGTGAGGAAATCGTAGAGCTCATGAGGTTAGCCTGACTCGAAAGTGATTAGACCCTTATCAGGTTATCGCAAGGGCAATTAAACCATTTGAAGACCTGATAATAGCCAGATAGGGCCTCATCCTTGCATTTCGGGCCTGATCCGGACCTCATGTGCCCTATAAGGGCCTTACATTCCAATCTCGCAGCCTCATAGAAACCTCGTGAAACGCCTGACAAAATTTCTACTCAAATGACTTTTAGATCTAGGGGATTCTGAGGATTCTAACGGGAAAAAATCACTAGATCCATAAAAGTCCCGGCCTTGATGAGGGAAAAAGGTATAAATGCATTTTCACTGATATTTTTTACAGTTCGATAATGAAAATCATTTAATTTTTTATTTTGTGGATAGTATTGATGAGTTTATGTACTGATATCTTCTTTTTCCACTTGACTATCGGTTCGCTCCATTGAGTGGTGGTATTTTAAGAATTTTTAAGGTATTCTATTGGTATTCGTGAATGTTTTATGGAGGAACAGGGTAGGCTAGAGCTGCACACTTTAATCGCTATAAAATTACACTGAAATGTATTAGAAAAATTACCAAGAGAACGAGAGACAGATTTAATGAAATCCTCGTACGTGATTTGACATTTCGGGGAGGATGGATAATACGTCTTTTTATCTCTCAGTTCTATCCATCCTCGCTCGAAGGTATTACTGCCAATTTTTTAAATAAATTACTGACGGTTGGAGAGCGTTTCACGTAATTTAAACATTGAAAAAAGTGTAAATAGGAAGGGACGAGTAATGAGTGCGGCGTCAAAAGTAAGTTGATTTGTGCAGATTCTATTATTTCCTATAAACAATTGTACGGCATTATTTTTCAATGGAAAATAAAATATACGTGTTAAAACGAATTGATTGAATTTTTTTTGTGATGCAGGCATAATTATCATAATTAATCTCCGCGATTACGAGGGGTAAGTAAAATTTATAATAATTGTATCAATTAATAGTTCAAATAGAAAATAAAAAAACGTGTCGATAATTTTCAGTGATATTTTCCTAGAGTTTTATTGAATGTATTGTATTCAAATCAAGTGATTAAATCCATTGTCTTGATTTCTTCGAGAAACTGAGAGTTAATCTGTCGTGTTCTTTTCCTCGAATTCCATAATGCAAGATGAAAAACAATAAAGTGATAAAAGATTGGTTAATGTTTAAGTTGTCCGTTGAAAAAATATGGGAGGAAGATATCAAAGAGAAAAATTGAAATCTTAATGTTCTTCTATCTTGCGTTTTTAAGAAATATTTCTATGGAAAATACATGAAAACCTTCTGAATAATTCATAGAAATTAGCAATAATTTAGCGGAAGTTTTTGCTTCGAGAGGATTTCTCGGTGATTGCGCCCGGTTTTCCCCTTGAATTCTTGACAATGTTTTTCAGCATAAAAGCAGTTGAAGAAATAAAAAGTCAGTGGCAATAGTCGCTTTTACGATTTCTATTGTTCCCTCAAATTTCTTCATTAGGTCTATCTATTATGCGGACATCTCTCCACTCGTGGTTAGGTGCATTGAAACATTTGTTATCAGTGAGAGAAACGCCACGAGATGAATAGACACTTTGTGGCATAATATTTACGAGTAATACATACATGTCCTCACACAATACGTACAACCAAACTTTCTCCTCGGTTTGGTATCGACCCTATCGAAATGTCACCTCGATTCTCACGACCCGCACGAGATGGTGAGGTTTATTCGATTTTAAAATGTGTGAGATTTAAAATTCTTTCCTTTAAAAAAATTCACTTTCCACATTT